AATCTTCAGCAGATTCTTGCTTGCATGTGATATCAATGATATTGTTCCATAATTTCCAACACTCTGTTGTATCACCTTTCTTTCAAATGGACAAATATAGATCTCGTCCAATCAGTTAGCCAAGTGGTTGTCCTCCAGATTTCTTGGTACAACTTGATGATCACATCTAGGGCAGCATCTGTTAGTCAAAACATGTCAAATGGTATACCATCATCCTGTGGCCTTATTTTTTTTTTTTCCATTTCTTTCAAAGCAGCTTGAACTTCTTCCTTCATCACCATGAAGGTTCTTGCTCATACATTGTTTCATGAAATCCTCTGTGTCTACCAAATCCTCTTGGTACAATGACTCTTTATGCTCTTTCCATCTTCTTTTAATACGTCTTAGGATCATTTAATATTCTGCTCAAAGCATCCTTCAGTATTGCAACTCAAGGTAGTATCTACCAACATTAAATTACGCTATCCTTATCAGTTTTGTTAAAATGACAGTGTGTTTTCCAAGTCCTGGTGATAAAAGGCATTGTGTCTTCTGCCTTTCTCTCACATGGCTCAGGAGAAAGCCAGGTACCTTGCTGTGAGTGTGCATATATCTTTTTGTTGTTGGTACCATTGAGTCAAAACCGACCCATAGCTGATCCTCCAGTGGGTGGTCAGAGGCAGTTAATTGTACGGGAGGAGATTGTCTATCCTTGTTCTGTAGAGCAACTGGTGGCCTTTAACTGTGTGACTTTAGGATTGCAGCACAGATTCTTACCACTAGGCCTCCAGAGCTTGTGTGTGTGTGTGTGTGTGTGTGTGTGTGTGTGTGTGTGTGTGTGTGTTGTTGCTGCTGTTGTTGTTATGTGCCATCAAGTCACCTGTGACTCATAGTAACCCTATGTACAATAGCCCTAAATGCCATTCTATCCCGTGCCAACCTCGCCATCTCAAACGCACTCATTTCCACCACTCCAGTCACAAAATCGATCTATCTCTTGAAGGTCTTCCTCTCCTTTGCTACCCCTCCACTCTGCCAAACATGATGTCCCTCTCCAAGGGCCAATCCCTCCTTGCAACATGCTCAAAGTATGTCATATGAAGCTTTAGAATCCTTGGCTCTAAGGAGCATTCTGTCTTCACCCTCTCCAGGACAAACCTGTTTGTTCTCCTAGCAGTCCATGGTATAGTCAACAATCTTCTCCAGCACCACAGCTTAAAGGCATCAATTCTCTTTCTATCATCCCTATTCACTGTCCAACTCTCTGATGCATAGAAAGTAATTGTGAAGACTATAGCCCAGATCAGGTATG